AACTCCCAACATAGCTGGATGTACGTCATGGCACTGAACTGGGGAGAGCCTCCCTCAGCACTGACAGTGGAGTTGCCTGTCCCCTGGCTGATTAGTATCTTCCTGAAGGGCAATGCTCGTCCTCTCCCTTTATCCCTCAGTGCGACCTCTAAGACTGAATGGGTACCTGAGCTCCTTGAAGCTAGGAGCCTCCCTAGGACACTTGGAGTTGGGGAGAGCTACAGGCCTCTTCTACGAGCACCAGTGCCCAGCACACACCTCCACACCCCAGTTGGAGCATGTGCCTATACAAGCTGTGGCCTTAAAGGTCTCCCAATCTTTTGTCTGTGCACCAGGGCACCAGAGTAGGCTCAGAATGTAGAGGAAGTCAAGGTTGAAGGGAAACCCATTTCCCACTCTAGTGTTTGCAACTGTGCTGTGCCAGGCACTTGGCATAGCTGATAAGCAATCTATCAACCCATTCAGTATTGTGTTCTTTCTCTCCTCTCTGTTGTCCTGTTCACATTTAAGTAAGCAGGTAGCTGGCCCTTGTTAGTGTCACATGGTTAGGATAAGTTTGGGTTTACATAAGAGGATATTTATTACAGATTCACATGGAGACAGAGAAGTCCCACAAAATCTGCCATCTGGGGAGGGTGGGGGCAGTGTAAGTCCAGATGCTAAGGTCTGAAAGTATTTGCATCCCCTTAAAATTCCTATGTGTGGAGATCCCTATGCCTAGGGAGATGGTATTGTGTGTGGAACTCTAGAGAGGGAGATTAGGCCATGAGACTGGTGCCCCATCATTAGGATTCATGCCTTATAAAAGAGGCCCTGGGGCACTGCTTTGCCCCTTCCACCATGGGATGACAAAGCCAAAAAGACCCACAATGAACCAGTCACTAACCAGACTCCTAATCTGATTTGTTCTTGGACATCCCAAACTCCAGAACTATGAGAAATAAATTGCTGCTGTTTATTGGCCACTTGGTCTATGGTGGCTTGCTGCAGCCCTATGAAATAACACCCTGTGGGACACAAAAGGCCTGAAATCACCTCCCTCCAGCTTGTGTCAGGACTGAAAGTCCTGAGTGGTGACAGTCTCTCTGAATGAGGGGGTAGAGTGAGGACAGAGGCAGGAAGAGAGGACAGGGATTAGGCAGGTCACCTGCACATCAGCAAACACCAGAAGGGTGGTAGGGTGATGACCAGGCCCAAGCACCCAGCTTCAACATAGTTGCAAGGACTGGGGGCCCATGAAAGCTGCATATTGGGTGACTTGGGCAACCATGAGAACTGCTAACCAGGGTCCTTCTGGCCACAGGACTTTAGCACAACCTTGAAGAAGAAGGAGCCCCATCAAGAACATATGAAATTTATTCCAAAATATAAGTCCATTTCTAAATCGTAATTCTCTTAGATGAACCACAAAGCTTGCAGAAACTTCACAGACCACTTCAGAATGTGACTGCAGCTTGTAGACATATGCTCACTTCTTATGTCAGCTGGGGAATGTCCAGGAAACATTAAAGAAACCCCATGGGAGGCCTGTACAAGGTATGCAAAGGCAGGACCCAAGAGGAGACAAAAGGATAAAGTGGCTGCAAACTCCTGGCATGTCATCATGAGGGCATCCAGGCTTCAGTGGGTCCACACCCTGGAAATCCCACAGGAACCACCCTTGGCCTTCCCCTTGAGATCTTCCTGGTCTCTGGGCCATGGAGCCTCCGAGCTAGGACAGTTTCCCCTCTCTGCACCAGGTTCCTACTCCCACCATCTCTGTCTCTTTATGCACATGGCTGTCCATAGTCCTCCAGTCCCTGGTTGTTCATCCTCTGAATAGACGATGTTCAGAGTTTAATTAGATGCTCCCCAGGAACACATTTCTGGATGAACTATTCTCATTGGTCCAGCCTGAGTCAAGGTGTCTGTCTTAGTCAACTTTGCATTAGTTCAATAAAATACCTGGAACATCTAACTAATAAAGAAAAATGACATGTTTAGCTCATGGTTCTAGAGGTTGCAGTCCAAGATCAGGCGGCCCATTCTTTGGTCTCTGGTGAAGGCAGTGCATCATGGCAGGAGCATGTGGCACAGCAAACTGCTTGTAGCATGAGCCAAAGAAACAGAGAAACAAGAAAAGCTGGGGTCTTACAATTTCTTTCCAGGACATGCCCTCAATGATCAAAGGACCTCTCACTAGGTCCACAGAACCTCCCAAAAGCACCACCCTAGAGACCAAACACATAAACCCCTGAGGGACACTGTCCAAACTGCAGCAGTGCCCAGCTATTAGAATTGTACCATACAAGCATAGCTGCTGTTGGGTCAGCAGGAGGCTTGAGGATGTGAAAAATGGGTTGAAAAGGTGATTCCCAAACTCCGTTGTTTGGGATGAGCCGGGTGCCTATAGGCATGTTCCCTCAGAGCTGCAATGAAGGTTGAATGACTTTATGTATATACCCCATGCCTGGGACAACATGGGGTCCTGAGTGGCAGCTCCTGCGTGGTGGGCTCAGGCATTTGTTGCCATCCTGGCTCAGGACCCAGTGGCTCAGGCCAGGATGCAAGATCATGAAGGGGGAGTCCTTGGAGACATGTCGAGAAGTCCACGCGTCTGTTTCTCCTCTCCCCATGAGTGGGCCCCTCTCATTCCAGGTCTTTCACTTCTGCTTATTTCTTCCACTTACCTCTCCTTATGATGTCCCCCAGAAAGCTAAGCCACATGAACAGGCATGAGCTCCTTGGCATCTACTCTCAGCTGCCTAGCACCAGCCTCTTTGGTCAGAGTACAACATCTGCCTGATGCCTTCCACCTACAAACAGGGCTTTTAGCCTCTAGGAGAATATGGCTGGGCATGGGCAGTGAGGAGATGAGGGAGTTCCATCCCTTAAGTGCAAGGAAAGTTGTCAGAGCTATTAATGGAAAAGCCTTTGTATTGGTTTACTAGGGTTGCCATAATAAAAGATCACAGACTAGGTGAAGTAAAAATCAGAAATTTATTTTCTCACAATTTTTCAGGCAAGCAGAAAAGATCAATGTGTCAGTTTTCCATTACTGTAACAAAATACCTATGATAATCAACTTAAAAAGAGGAAAGTTTTTCTTCAGTTCACAGTTTTGAAGGTTTCAGCCCATGGTGATCGGTCTTTTGCTTTTGGGTGTTCAGTGACGCAGAACATCATGGCAGAGAGTATGTATTGAGGCAAAATACTCATTTCATGGTGCCTGAGAAGGAGAGAGAGAAATGGAAGATACTGGCATCTTCATAACTCTTTCAAGGGCACACTTTCAATGACCTAAGACCTCCCCTAAATCCCAGGTTATAAATGTTTCTAGTGCTTCCTAATACTAGGAAGTACTAGACATCCAGGCCAGGTGGCAAGCCAGGAATAAACCCTGAACTGTTGAGATTTTTAGGGAATATTTGAGGCAAAAGTATAGCACAAAATGTACAGGTAAGAACAGGGTTATTTCCTTCTGAGTCTCAAAGAAGCTTGACTCACAGGTGACTGTCTTCTTACTGTCTGCCCATGGTCTTCCCTCTGTATGTATCTGTTTTAATTTTTTTAAAAGGACCCCAGTCATATGATTCTACCCTAATGACCACATTTAATACACTCACCTCATAGAGACTTCTCTCCGAATAACATTTAAGGTAGAAGGTTTAGGATTCCATATATGAATTTGAGGAGGATAGAGTTCAGTGCACAATTGCCTTTATCAATGGTGCTATTAGGAGCTCCTCTTCAAATAGTGGATTCCAAGAATCAAAGGGACCCAATGGAAAGACTCCAACATGTTTTGGAGGCAAAAAGGCCATAGTCCTTGATGGACTCCATTGTTTTGGAAGTGTTGGAAGTTCATAGGCAGGTTCCTTCAGAGCTGCAATGAAGGTTGAATGACTTTATGTATATACCCAATGCCCAGCACAACATGGGGTCCTGAGTGACAGCTCCAGCATGATGGGCTCAGGCATTTGTTGCCCTCCCGGCTCAGGACCCAGTGACTCAGGCCAGACTGCAAGATCATGAAGGGGGAACCTTGGACACATATCATCTCCTTTAATTTATAAGGAATCAAGGCAGAAACTGTTAGTGTCCTTGACATTCTGGGGGTGGTAGCACCAGGTTCATGATTCCTGTGGAAATTCTGGGGCTCTAAGGACATCCAGGCCAGATGGCCAGCAGTCAAGCTCAGGAGCCCAAAGGTGATGTGGGAGTCTAAAACTCAGGGATGTAATTCCTGGTAACCAGAAATCCTATTGCCCTGCTCCCCATGGGTGAGAAGAGGAATCCCAGGGAGAAAACTCAGGTTCAGAGAACATATGGCCCTGGAGGTACTTGTGGGCAATAGGGTGGCCTTGGAGAGGTGGGAGGTCAGGACTTAGGCTTCCAGAGATGGAAAGGGACTAAATCTGCAGGAGCTATATCCTGGTCCCAGGGGGAACCAGGATACACTGGTTCTGTCTTGCACTTTAGCTAGATTTACACCCCGTATATGCCCTTTTCTGCTATGTTGCCAGCTGTTAGAACTATTCTCCTTTTTCCAGAGCCTTGGGTATTTCTTCAAAAGATGTGCAATCAGGAGATGTCTGGTAGGGGCACTGTACACTCAGGAGCCCATGGCACATCCCTGTCCCCATGGCTTCCACTCAACACGCAGCCTCCAGTTCTGAATAGCAGAACCATGGCTGGGTCTGCCAGGCCTGGGCAGTCAGGCCACCTGCAGCAGGGCCTGGAACCTGCAAGTGTCTTGGCCCCACCCATTTGGACACCATGGAAGAATCTTTCTTTTTATTAAAATACGATCTAAGTTTAGCAAAACCTGGAGAAAGCTACAGCTGTGTTTACCAAGTAGACTTTCAAAAGCTGGCTCAGATTCTCCAGGGCAAACCTGGGCAGTGCCTGGGTGGGGCCTGGGAGCCACAGGAAGGGCCCAGAGCCAAGCAGAGCTCAGAGGGGAGAGGAGGAGGGCAGGGGTGGAGCCTGCTTACACCACCACACCCATCATCAGAGCTGCCTGAGGGGCAGTGTGTAGTAGGAGGCAGACATGTCCAGTCTGAGTGCAGTCTGAGTAGTGTCTCTTCTCTCCCTGGGAAAGGGGACCAAGATGGCCTGATGGAAACCTTGGGTAAGTGGGGTTGAGCAGGGCAAGTGGCTTCCTGCATAGTGTCGAGTGTGGGGGTAGGAGACTACATAAAGGTAGAACCTCTGATTCTGAGGTCAGCTCAGACTACATTTGGTTACCTGCTGCGTCAAGCCCTGGGGAGGAAGCTGAGAAGAAACTGCCCAACTCTAGAGAAGCCACCACAGGGACAGGAACAGAGTGGGGGAGATGGACAGATAAAGACATCTTGAAATACAATAGGGAAGTAGAGGTGGGAAGAGTTCAGAGAAAGAACCCCTGCTGGGGTGGGGGTTCCCTGCTAAGCTTCCTGTGTGAATCTTGCAGGGTGTGCACTTGAGACTCCCCTGGGGAGAATCCAGCAGACTTTTCTTGGGAAGGGATTAGTATGTAAAAGGTATGGAAAAGTAGAGAACTTGGCTTTGGAGGGACTTAGCTTGAATGAACTGAGGGCCCTGGGTGGGTTAGAAATGGACCTGGACCCCATTGCTTCATGTGAGGCTCCTTAGGATCTGCCCTGCAGGCCTTTCCAGGGTCCATTTTTAGGATATGGCCCCTGCTTTTGCAATGTGGTCTTTGCCATCAGGTTGGGGCTCCCTCTGTGCTTTTCTTGGAAAAACATTTCTGTCTGCCAGGTTCAGTGATCAACTCTGTGACAGGGTAAGATCAAGTTTGGCAGCCCTTTTGTGCTCTTCACAGACCACCATACAGATGTGGTCACAGGCATTGAGTCACCTCCTAGAAAGGTGTCTGTGGGCATGCTCCCCCTCTTGGGCTGACTTCAGCAGGAGCTTGACCATCAGCCTAGCTCAGAGGCCCTGGGGTTCTATCCCTTAACCACATGTGAACTTGTTCTTCGTGTCATTGGACTGATGAGATGAAATTTGACACCTTCTTGTGCATACCCAATACCACTCAACTGATGAGAGGTACAGGGACAGAGGGAGGCAATGCCAGGGCACAGGAGTGCCTGGCTTCAGGGCCTCTCCTCCTGTGGTTCACATCCAGTGTGCAGCCTTGTCAAGCTGTGGGGTTGGGAAGTGAGCAACAGAGTCTTGGATTCCCTATCAACCAAGAGAGAGGTAAGGGGGGTGTGCTTTTTAATGTGTACTCTATAATCTGTGAGTCCCCAAGTAGTTACTCTCTCTCCATAGTCTCCAGGAGTATGAGAAAACTGCCACAAGAACATTGAAGACAGCATCAAGAGCGAGATCCATGGGCTAGGGATGTGGCTCAAGTAGTAATGCACTCGCCTGGCATGCGTGGGTTCCTGGGTTCGATCCTCAGCACCACATAAAAATAAAACAAACATGCTGTGTCCACTGAAAACTTAAAAAAAATTAAAAAATTCTTTCTCTCTCTCTCTCTCTCTCTCTCTCTCTCTCTCTCTCTCTCTCTCTCTCTCCCTCTTTAAAAAAAAAAAAGAACGAGACCCATGGTTCACTGGAGGAGGCCATGATCACTGTGGGTAAGAACTGGGGCACAGTGCTCAGATGCACATAGGTCCACAGGCTCAGCTGGAACAACACCACACAGGCTCAGCTGGAACAACACCAAAGGGCAAAGGGCCCAGGGAGGTAACAGCAAGCAACAGGAGCCCATGTTCACCTTCACGGTCCTCCCCATACCTCCCATGCTCTCAGCCTGTATCCTGGGATTGTTCCAGTCCTAGCGTCTCAGTGTGTCCTGCCAAGGAATATTATCAGTGCTGTTTTCATGGCACCCAGTGCCTTATGAGGATGTATAAATATGTGTACATATGTGAATATGTGTCAAAGAAAGAGCATAAGGGTGACTATGTGGGTATAAATGTGTAAGGAGGTGCTTAAGTTGTGAGTGGGAGTGTGTACTTGTGTGTGCATGTATGTGTTTGAAAAATAGTGAATGTGTATGAGCATATGTGAGAAAATGAGTGTATTCATAAGTGCGTGTAGGTGTGTGACAGTGTGTTTGAGAGATTGTGTGTGTGTGCACGTGTGTGTGTGTGCGCACACGCTCACGTGCACATGCAGTGGTTTCTGGTTGAAAAAACTTGAACAAAGCCACCTGTCTTAGTTGCCAATTCCAGAAATGATGGTGTGAGGTTTGAATGCCAGCAAAGGGTCGATATTACAACACCAGGAGCATTGAGCACCTTCCCCACAATGAGAAGTAAGATCCAATTCACAGGACCCATTCCAGAGCACATCTTAAGGTCCAGAGCTGAGAGCACAACAGAAAGTCATTGAAGAGTAGAGATCTGCTGCTGAGGCAGAGGAACCTCTCCTCTACATCTCACTCAATGGAGCTGAGGTCACGACTGCTGGGATGGGACATTCATCTCCACATCAGGTTACCTCTGGAAGGAGCTGGGTGCTTCTCCCTCTTCACTGTCTCTCTGGTGAATGTTGTGTTCTGGAACTCCCCAGCCAACTTTGACTCTGGTGATAAAATACAGTCTATGTTGAAGCATCTAGGCACACCCCTACCCAACCTCAGCAACACTGTCATCCCTTGAGTCCTAAATAATGAAACTTCCTAATTAATATCCTCTGGCAGGAAGCAGTGAAGGTGTGCCTGGCCTCACTATGCTGGGCACTTTCGGTTCATTTGTCCTTAAAACATCATTCACTCTCACGTCACAGATGAGTCAGGGATGTCATACAATGAAGTTACACCACACCATCGAGGCAGCGTTTAAACACATGCCTGCGTCCCTCAGAGCCTATCTGCTGCAGCCCTGGCTTAAAATGTTACTTCTCCTTGCAGATGCCAACTCTCTGCAGGAACATTCATGACAGGAGCTTCATGGAAAAGCAAGCATGGGGCCTGCTCTCTCAACCAGGTGTCCCTGGGGACTTAATCCTCCTGGGCTGAGCCCCACTCATCACATGGGAATTTAAAATGCAGGAGTCCTCTGAGGCCATCGCCACCATGCTGTGATAACTCTGTGGAGCTGACTGGCTGGATTCTTGATGGTGCTACGTTTGGTTGAAAGCCCAGGAACTCTCCAGGTCTAAGCTGAGCACAGCTCTTACCAGGACCCAATAGCTGCTGAGCCTGGATACCCAGAGAAGAAGGTAGTATTTCTAAGTATTTGTTTGATGTTCTAAATAATAAACATTTGTACAATCAAAACATGTCTGTGTTTTTAACAATGACCAGAGTAAGACCAATTTCATTGGTCAGAAATAGATCTTTGGGGAGCAATCAAACTTCAACATCTCTGCAGGCATTTCCCTGAAGGGACACTGAGGGTGAGCTGTGTCCACTGTTGCCCTGGGGACAAAACCTGTGAATGAGGATACTTTCTAGTTACCCTCTATTTTTTAGCCAATATCTCAGGGTTGAAAACGGCTTTGAAAGTCACCTGGTCCTGTTCCATCCTGCAGCATGATGGCCCTCTCTGTTGTCCTTGTTGTTCCTTGGTGTCCTAGAGATAGCCCTAGTATAGACTCAATATGTGTACAATGTCCTAAACTATCTCCAAAGATGGAGACTTACTGTCTCTGTGGATTTCCAATCTTTTTCCAACTGGTGTGATCTGTAAAATTTTTATCTGAGCTCAGACTTGCCCCTTCACGCACACTGCTTTCGACTCTGCCATCTGGAGCCACAACTTTTATTCTTTCCTATTTAAAACATTTTGATATCTGAAGAAGGCCACAAATTCCAGTAAACCTCCTGCCAAAGGTAAATGCCCCCATTGTCTCCAGCAGTTTGTTGGAATCTAATTTGAGGCCATGACCTCTGAACATGCTCCAGCTTACAAACTTCAGAGTGTATCTCCACAGGGTCTGGGCATGCCAGGGAGACAAGAGCAGTGTGGGCTCCAGAGGTGGATTCTGGATTCATGAATCTGACCTACTCCCCTTCTCTAAAATTCAGTGTCCTTGTGTTTCAGTGCAGGGTGGAGTCCTGGTTAAGATTGCTGCCTTAGAGCTAGTGGTGTAAAATCATCATTTAATGGTGCTCACAGATTCTGTAGATCAAGAATTCAGTCAGGACACACTGAAGATGGCTTATCTCTACTCCAGAAAATCTGGACACTTTGTTGGGAAGATCTAAAACTTGGGGTGATTATAGAGCAGGAGGTCTCCATCACATGGAAGATTCTTCCATCACATGGAAGTGCCTGGGTGAGAAGACTGGAAGGCTGGGTTCAACTGGGCCCCATAGAGCCCTGACATGTAGTCTTTCCATCATGGTGGCCTTGGGATGGAAGGGTGCCTCATGTGTCAGCTCAGGACACCGTATACATCTAGTAGATGAAGAGCATTGCCCTCTGTGATGTAGACTCAGGAGTTACACTGCCCCTGTATCCTGTTGGTCCAAAATATCACTAGCCATCCAGCTTCAAGAGATAGGAACACAGACCCCACATGTCAATGAGAGGAGGGTCAAGGACTTGAGAGACCACTTTTTAATCTACTACAGGTGGTGCTCAACGTATTCAACAATCAGGACAACACAGCCCACACACCTGGATGGGTGATGACTGTAGGGCTGGAGCAGAAATTCAGAGGTCCCTTCAGGGACAGGCCTTGAGCCTTGGTGCTAAATGGAGGGTTATCTGTGGGGCACCAGGGTGGCTCGGAGGGTAGGTGTGAGGAGCAGCAGCTATGTACCAATATGTCTTAGTCTGCTCAAGTTTTCATCACACACCTTTGATAATTGGGTGGCTTAACCAACAGAATTTTTTTTTCACTCATAGCTCTGCATGTGAGGAATTCTAAGGTCAAGAGTGAGCCTATTCAGTTTCTGGTAAGAGTTCTCTTCCTAGCTTTCAGAAAGCTTCCTTCTGGCTGTGCCTTCACATGGCTGTGCTCTAAATTCACACTCAGAGACAGAACTAACTCTCTCTCTCTCTCTCTCTCTCTCTCTCTCTCTCCCCTCCCCTCCTCCTCCTCCTTCTCTTCCTTCTCCCTCTCCTCTTTCTTCTTCTTCTCTCTCTCATTTCTCTCTCCCTCTCCTCTTCTCATATGGTCACTAATCCCATCACAAAGGTCCCACCCCTTTATAAGATTAGATGACCTCATCTAGCCCTAATTACCTCCCAAAAGCCCCATCTCCAAATACCATCACACTAGGAGTTGGGATTCAACAGCAAACATTCAGTCCTCAGCACAGCAGTGCTAAAGATCCCCGCAGTTTCACATCTGCCTTTAACAGCTGTGCCAGGGTGGGACACCCAAACACTGGCCCTGCCTGATGATTCTTTTTTTGTCCCTCCTTTTAGTTCAAGTCCTGCCCTGGACTTCCTCTCAGTGTTGAGTCACTGTCTGACCCATAGCTCTTTTCTGCCAAAGTGCTTTAGGAAAAACTTGGAGGACTCCTCTGCCCTGCCATCCTGTACCCACTGCTTTTAAGGGCTTGGAATTCTTTTGCAGCCTACCCTACCTGAGAAGGCCTTCATGTGACCCGATAGGAGCCTTGAGCAAAGCTGAGACTGGCCAGGAAATGACAGCCTGTCCAAGTGGACACTCAGCAGAAACAACACTTCTTCATCTTTCCCAATGGACCAGAAGACACTCCTACCCGCAGAAAGCAGTGGGCAGGGTGGAAAGAGGAGGTCTGCTCTGATTAGAGGGTATGTACTCTCTCCTTAGGGTCAGAGTTAGGAAGACATGCTGGGTGGGTGTGGGTAAATTTCCACAAGGTGTCTCCAGCTGAGTGCTGTCTATTAAGTGATACTCATGGTGGCTCAGGAAGAAGGAGAACCTGGTCAGGACAATTTTTAACACTCCTGTGTTTTCAAAGATAATTCGGGTTCTGCTTCCTATGATTTGAGCAAAGTGGAAGAATGAGGGACTCATGACAAAGATTCTTTTCTTGGCCAAAATTTAGTCAAACTCCTAAAAGGTCTCCAGACCCATAAGTGTACTTCCTTGTAAGTCCAATTTGAGCAAGTACCCTTTGAAGCCAATGCAGTAAGAACCTCCATGCTCACTTTCCTCATCACCCCCCCCCACCCCAAAACAAAAATCTTGTTTCATGGCTTCAGACAGAATCTCCCTTACCCTGATGTTTCCTGTTGGTAGTTTTCTATCACTGACCTCGCATCCTGCTCCTTGGTTCTAAGTCCCCCTATCCTTGCAGTATCCAGAACTGAGTTCTGTTCTACATGAAATCTATCTTACCTTGATACAACCATCCTGAATTGAATCCATTTTTACAACTTTAATTATTGCCCAGCTCTGGTCTTTTTTTGGTAGCAGCTATTTCCTGCTTATGGCTTTGCCATGGTTCTATAATGACTGTATTTGTTGTTGCATTATTGCCTTTTAACCCTCGGTTAGAGATTATGTACTTGAACTCCCTCCATTCTCAGATCAAGTCTTTGATTCCCTAGGAGATGGATGTGTTTATTTCCATTGCAAAACTAGCTGGCAGACAAAGAACAGGATCCAGAGAATGAAGTCGGAATTTCTGCTACTACATGATCTGAGACAAGGATTTCATCCCGCATGGAATGAAATCTGTGAGCTTACAATAGCCTTTCAGAAATTTCTTTTCTCTTTAAACTGTCCAGAGTGGCTGCTCTTTTTAGCAACAAAGAACTCTCTTTACTACAGAGTTCCTGCCCTAATGGCATCTTATCTGGTTATATATCTCCTGAAGCAAAGCTCTGAGTCCCATAAAGGCAAGAAAGTATTTATTCAGTTTTGAACATTTTTCCTAACACATAGCATGTACTTCATAGATATTTTTCAATGAACAGCAACAACTAAGAGAATAGAATTTGTAGAGAAAAAATATCTAAAAGGCAATGATTTGAGGCCAAATCTTTCTGGTCACTGATTCTATAGGATCCTTGGACTTCCCTGTGGAAGGAACCCTCAACTAATGCTAGTGAAAAAAGATCTGGGAAAGATCTAAGCAGGGAGGAGAACTGCTCTCAATTCTTTTGGCACAAACTTGGTCCCAGCCCCGGTTTTAGATTCTGCCACTTGCCACCCCAGTGCCACCAGTTCAGTGGGGTATGCCTTCAAGTACTGGTTTCATGCTCTTGTGAAGAAAGGGCTGGAATGCTGGGATTGACCTATTTATTCTGTATCCTCAAGCTGGGGAAAGGTTACCTTTCTGTGGGTTGAATACTTGGGCAAAATCTAGATTCATTAGGAAGTAATAAAGCAGACACAATGGATTTGTGATCAGCATCATATACTGTCACCACAACCAAGCATTCTCCCTGCCCCTAGATTGGGGCTGGCCAGATCATCCTTCATAAGGAAGGTGAATCTTGAGCAGTTTTGAAGAATAACTCAGTGCTTATCAGGTTGACAGGACAGAGAAGAACATTCCTGACAAAGGGTGGAATGTAAATGGCAGAAGGAATCTGGTCTGTACCAGACACACTAAAGGAATGGCATGCTTATGCCCAAGGAAGTGGGAGAGTCCAAAGATAAAGACGTCAGAGGCCAAGTAAAGAAGGCTCATGCTGCCAGGCTGAGGAGCTCCCAAATTCCCAGAGTCATTATGGAAGATTGGCAGGGGACATGCAGGGAGGGGTATCTTGACTGAGTTTCAGTATGGTTTCTGCCATCAGGATAGGTGGTGAAAAGTGCAGCTGGTTTGGAAGGAGGAGGCCCAGCACTGAAGCTATTTCCACATTCTATCATGTCATGCAACCAATTCCCTGCAGCTTTATAGTCCAGCATTTTGTGATCCTGGGTTAATTCCCTGGGAGGAGGCTGATCTTAATAACCCTGTGTCCTGGTCCTGGCAAGTCTTTCTAAGTATTTGAGGGCACCCCAGACCATCTCTTTCTTCTCAGTGAGGAGAAGATACTGACTTCCACAGCTGCTACCCTGAGACCATTGACACCTGAAATTTCTCCTGTGAGCCTGAGGCCTGAGCCTATAGTTTCAGTACTGTCACAGCCCCATTTTGGTGTCCAAGCTCCCTCAGGGTATTGTGCCCAGGTAGGTCCTGCCCGATGCTCCAGTGGCCCATGACTACCTTTGTTCCCCTGCCAGCCTCTTCCTGGGCTGGGCCTGTCCCTCGGGCTATCCTCTAATAGAATTCTAGGGTTTCCAGCTGGTGATCAGGGGTGTCCCTGTTTCTGTAATATGCTGTGGACTTCTCCCACAATCACCCCCATCTCTGCTGTTTACAGTTCCTCACAGATAAGGTCTCCGTCCCAACCCTTTCCCATCTGGTCCTAACTGAAACAGGAGTCAGTCATCTCGACTCTGCCCCTGGCCTGGTGGGATGTAGACCATCGCCCTCCCAACCTGGGTTCTGCTGACACGTCCTAGCTGCCAGGCCCTGTCACATTCCCACATCGCTCTGTGCCAATCAGATCAAGGACTTATTGTCTTTGTTTTCGGCCCCACCTGCTCTTCCTAGGTTCCTTTGTTTCCCTGATGGATTTATTTCCAGCTCTGTGTTCTGAGGTAATACACCAGATGGAGAGAGAGTCCCTTGCAGATGTGGAGTGAAGTCACCCTCATCCCTGCCTCCCCTGTGTCTACCCTGGACAGGCAGTCAGGGACCAGGTCTGCATCCTTGCTTCAGAGTGGTTCCAAGCTGCCTGGAAACCTGCTCTCACAGTGCCCTCTAGTGGCTGACGTTGACCAGGAGGAAGCCTAAATGGCCTGGAGGCTGATACCCACTGAGCTGGCCAAAGAAGCCTGAGGGGGCTATTGAGGAATAACACTGGCCCACCCCAGCACTGGGTGGACATAAAGAAATCTGTAACATATTATTTCATTTATATTGAAACTAATTATGGTGAAAGAAATCAGATTAGCAATTGTCTTGGGGTTTAGGGGTGGAGTGATGGCAGAGATTAGTTGGAAAACATTCTGGGGTGTTAGAATATTCTAAATCTTATAAAGGGTGATTGCATGTGTGAATGCATTAACCAAAATATATTGAATGTAACATTTAAGATTTGTAAATTTTGTTTTGTGTAAATTATCCACCAAGAAAAACAATACAAAGCTACTATGAACATACATGTGCATGTTTCTGGGTGGACTTAAATAGTAGTTTAACTAATAAATGCCCAGGACTGTTGTTGCCAGGTAATATGGTAAGTGCTTGTTTAGCTCGTTGTTTATTTATTTGCTTTAAGAAGTTGTTATCTATTTTCCAGAGTGGCCTTATGTACCGTTTCTTATTTCCACAGGTATTAGAAATCCAGTTACTCTACATCTATGCTAGCATTTACTTTTGTCATTACCTTTTAATCTTAGCTGTTTTAATAGACATGTAGTGATTTTATATGATGATTTTAATTTGTGTTTCCTCAATGTCAAGTGTTGTTAAGCCTCATTTTATGTACTTATTTGCCTCTGCCACGAAGTGTCTCTTCATCTATTTTTCATTTCCAATTGAATTACTTTTAACTAATTTGAGTTTTGAGATTTCTTTATATATTCTAGATAGGAGTCCATTATGCATTACACATATTTTCTAATATCTATAGCTTGTTTTTTCATCCCTTTAGCAGAATTGTTTGCAGAAACTATTTTTTTTATTTTGATCAAATTCGACTTATCATTATTTTTCATTCATAGAGCATATTTTTGGTATCATGTCTAGAAATTCTTCACCAAGCTCTAGATCTGGAAGATTATCCAATGTGTTGTCTCATAATAGCCCCAAACTAAAACACTGAAATGTCCCTCAGTGAATGAGTAGTTAAACAAACTGATATAACCATGCAAAGATTTGGCAATAAAAAGAAACATATTATTGATATATGCAACACATTGGGCTAAGTGAAAAAGTCATTGTCAAAAGATTGCAAGCTGTATGATCTTGTTTATATAGAATTCTTCTAATGACAAATTATAAAATTGGTAAACATTTTATACTCTGTTTTAAGGCTGGTGAGGGGGGTGGCATGAGCACAAAAGCATTGCCCAGAGGAGATCTTTGTGGTGGTAGAATCAGTCTGTAGTTTGACAGTAACACAAATCTACCCAGGACAAAATGTCATAGAATGGCACACATTGTGCCTATATCAAATTTCCTGATTTTGATGCTGTACTATAGAATGTGAAATGTAAACATTTATGGAAACTGGGCAAAGGATACCAGAACCTCTTTTCAAATTCCTATGAATCCATAACTATTTGAAAAAATTAAACATTCATAAAAACAAAAAAAATATTAAAAAGCAAAATAAGTAATACACAAAGTTGATAAAAAATCTAACAGTACAAAATGATATGTGGTAAAAATATAACTTTATACCACTCTAGAGTCCTAGCCAAAATCTCTCCAATAACTTTCACAATTAATGTTTCAACACTTCTGATAGGAATTTGTGTGAATATATGTGTTTTTTCCCACTTTTCCAGCTTTGATCTTACACTATGAATTTAATATAACCTAGAAAGTAAAATCAGTATCTCTTTTTCACAGCAGTAAGACTTTCATTTTGAATATGCCATGTTTTATCGAAGTCTCTGTTCATTTCTACTGTTTTGTTCATTTGGTATTATAAATCATGTTGCATTAAATATCATTCAACCTCATGCAGCACCGTCATAGGAGAGACTCCTAAAATACAGTTTGTGGTTAAAAGGGCATGTGAATTGTAGCTGAGAAAAGTTTTGCCAAATTGCACCCCAAATAACATCCCAAATAATAATAAAATACCAATTTTCTCAA